GCTCCTCAACTGTTCACTCTTCAGCTGAAACCAGAGAAATCTTGTCCAGCACAAAGCTGCCAGGGAAACAGAATTAGCAAAACGGACATCGTCCCCTCAGGATGTCGCTGTTTCCACCCTTGTCTGCCTTGCCTTTCCCTCTTTGGAAGCCACAAATGAAAGGATCTCAGCTAGCTTGCCTTGAGAATTCTTGTCCCTCACCTATTCTCTCTCTTCTCAAGCCAACAGCTTTCACCCAGCAGTGAAGGGGCAGTGCAGATTTGTGGCCCCAAATCTTCTCTAAGAACCTTGGAAATTCGCCCCACCTGGGGGCCTTTGAGGGTCAGGCCTGGCATTCACTAAATCCTCCCTCTCAACACAACTGCCTTGTCAGTCCAGCCTGTGAGTCAGTGCGAGACAGAGGATGCAGGCACCACAGGGGAAGAAGAAAGGCAAGCTGGAAATATATTTGTTTCCTTTGCCCAGGATCATTCCCAGCATCTAAACCAAGTTCTTCCCAGACCCGCCAAGACTGAGGAGTCAGAATAGAGGAGTTTGCAGCAGTCATAGGTCATGTGGAAAGACAGAAAACAAAGGGCAAAAAGAATCTCATATACAGATTTCTGCCATTTGCTTTCAATGGCATTCCTTTTGTGAAGCCCCAGTGACAGGTTCCAAAAGGGCAGGTGTTCAGTGGGTTCCACCCCAGATCCTGGTGTTAACAGTCCACTGGGAGAAGTGGCCCAATTCGTGCTCATTACTCCCAATGGTCCTGCCTCCCTGCAGGCATTCTGGAGAAGCTGAGTCACAGGCTCTGAGAGTTAGGAGGAACTTAGGAAACAATCAAAACTTCCCTGCCATTCATTTCAGGAAGCCGCTATAGTTTCTGAAGGACGACTGAAGGGAATTTTTTCCTAAGAGCATCCATCCATCCTCCAACTAGGCTTCAGACAGCACTGTGTACGTTGTCACTATCTATGGGCCATGGCCAGTCAGAGCCCATGGGTCTCAGGGGGCTCCACCCATGTGGGGGTGGAGGTCCCCACCACTCAGATCTTGAATGTGTGGTGGTCGCATGCAGTATACGATCTTCCTGTCATTCCAAAGGAAAAGTCAGAAGTGTGAATGAGTTGTTTCTAATTCTGGCTTCCAAAAAGTACAAAAGAAGGTGCTTTTTCTTGTGGAGTACACTAGTGCTCAACCTTTGGGACAGGTAGCTGAGCCCTTCTGCTGTGTAGCAGGCTGGCTCTCTGTGGGGGCACTCATGGAGCAGTGTCTGCTGGGAAAGGAGACAGGAGTTCCCTAGCTGGAGGGGTAGATAATCTCCCCCCTCCCTCCCCTCTTCTGTCCTCCCTTTCCCTTCTCCCTCCTCCTCCCTCCTCCCCTTCCTCCTCCTCCTCTTCCTTCTCTTCCTCTTCTTTCTTCTCTCTCCCTCTCTCTCTCCCCCTCCCTCCTTTCCTTCCTCCCTTCCTCCACATTCTTTATAAAACAAGGCTTTGGATCCATTCACTGCCATCCCCCAGAAGCTATGTCATTTGAATTCTTGTCTGAGTCAGGATGCTCTCCTCCAGGGGATCATGGGGCAAGGAACTTCAGCCCAAATCCATCTGAAATCCAGGAACGTTTTGTGGGCATCTGTCTCAGTCCCACTGATCGTTTGTCCTCTGCCTTTCCCCAGTCGGAGTCCTTTTGCCCCCTTAAGTGGTTGAATTGGTAACGAGATCATTCTTCCCGTGTAGTGGTGAGAAGGCAGCACTCAGGTGATTGCACCTGGGTAAACAGGAGACATTAGCATGTGTTGGCTGGTGAGTGAAGCTGGTGCAGTGCCTGGCATGGGCTCAGTTGTGCCAGCAGGCAGTGGTGGAGTTTGGGCTTTTTCCCCTCTCTCCTGCCCAGCACACAACCCCCAGAGACAGGTGGGGGCTTTACAGCTTCCTGGCATCAGCCTGAAGCTTCTAGAAAGGCATCCCAAGAACTTCCAAGTTTGTCATCTTGGCTGAGACTGTGAATGTGGTCCCTTGTCTGAGGGTGGGGGCTGGGAGGGGGTGTGACAGAGGAAGAGCCGGGCCTTAGTTCTCTGGGGGTCACCATGAGAGAAGCACACCTGGGCTCGCACAGAACTCAGTGCTGCTTGTCAGTGTCACCTGGCACAATAGGACCTAGTGCCACAGTTGCAACCCTAGAAAATTTGACGACCCCTTCATAGCTTTGTTTATAAAAGGCCACACGGCCTAGGCCGTCCTTCATAAGAGAACAGAAAGCGAGTGTCCCAGTCACAAAGCAGCAACTTTCAGGCACGGTTTCCTCCTGGTCACTGAAACCATTTGTCATTTCCTGTTTTCTCCATTTTCCAACGATTCTAATTGTCAGTGTCAAAAGGCAACAACTGTTTTCTTGGGGCTTATCTTTGGAGCACATTGATTCAGAACAAAGGATGGGAGCCTCCATCTGCAAAACAAAGGAAGCAGCCTCCTCGGGAGGCCTGGAGAGAATGCTCTGGCTCCTTTTGCCAGGTACAGCAGGACCAGCCTAGCAGCAGAGGACTGGCGGTGCCTCTGGACACTGCCGTAAGGTGAAGAGTCCACGGAGGGCTCTCGCTTGCTGGTGGCACCCTGGACTTGAAGGTCCTGCAGAGCTGGCCGCCAGCACCCAAGCTGGGTGTCAGCAGCCTTGGGTGGCCTTGGCAGTTTCCATAGTGATACGCTGGCCAGCTTTTCCATTAGACTCCGGGGTCCTCTGGAATGTGTGCTTCCTAGGATGAAGACGCCCCAGCACCCGCTGAAGCCTGCCCTGCTCCGGCATGGCCTTTCCTTTTGTCTGGCACGCCCCTGGGCTTGGCTTTCTCTTTCCGCCCCTCCCTTTGGACTTTACCACACTTCCCCTGCTGTTTCCTTAGTCACACTCTCTAGCCTCCATCTGCCCCTTCCCCCCAACCCCGACCTCTGTACAACTGTGTTATTTGATGAAACTAATGCAGCAACCGGTGGGGATGGAATTAAGGACCGTTTAGCCCTAGCCAGCCACCCAGGAATCTGTCCCCAGAAGCAGCAGAAGCACCTGGTTTGCAGTTAGGAGATACTGTACTTCTTAGCCGTGTCACCTTGGGCAAGTCATTTAACCTCTCTGAGCCTCTGCTGTCACATCAGTAAGCTGGGGACTGTAGAGCTTCTGCCCTGATGTCCTGAGGCTGGTACAAGGAGAAGAGGCAAAGCGAAAGGACTGCCTTCAGAAATGGCCACCAACCCTGACCATCTCAGGCAGATCCGGATGGTGCGGCCTTGGGAAGTGGTCATGTGACCCCCATGCTCCTCACTGTCCACATGGGGTGTTGCTAGATGACATCAAATAATGGGTGAGACATGCTCAGTATAATGAGAGCTTGAGAAGGCAGATTCCACCCCACCCCCACCCCCACCCCCACCCCTTGCCGCCTTGCCAATGCTTCAGCAGGGAGAGGGCAGCTGCATAGGGCAGCTGAGAAACAGCCCCTCACTGCCCACACAGCAGCTCCAGTGGAGGGGGAGGCAGGGACCAGGACAGGAAACAGGCTAAGGGCGGGATAGAAAAGCAAACCCCAGTCTGGTGGAATTGCTTCTGGTGTAGTCTTCCCGGTGCCATGTGTTTGTCCTCTCTGCCTTGGCAGGAACCAAGGCCAGGAACTGCTGCCAGGCCTGAGAGCCGGGCACAGTCCCAAGCACTGGGTCTCTACCCCGCCCCACTCCCGCCAGCCCCACCGAGTGCAGAGAAGGGTTCCCAGAAGCCCTTTGCCGGAAAAGCAGGCACTGCACGGGCAGACCATGTTGTAGAGTCAAGTCCTCTGGTGTCTGGGGGGACACAGACCAGAAAGTGGACTTGGAGCATGTGCTCCCAGACAGAGCTGCCTTGGTGGTTGAGAAAGGGAGAGAGATGGCAGCAGTTGAGCAGATATGGCCGGGCTCCCCTCACTATGTGGGGTGAGGAGGCTTCAAGCACTGGACTGGGAGTCAGACCTGGATCCAACTCACAACCTGACACCAATTGGCTGACGATCTCAGAGCAAGTCATGCCTTCTCTGGGTCTGGGGGCTTTCATGTTATTCCCTCCTGGCTATGTTCTTCCCCTTTGCTCCTTGAGCCAATCCCAGACTGAGTGCTGAAACTGCGGCCTTGAAACTTGGCTCACTCCTCCCCCTGCCCGCCCCGCCAGCTTTCAGATGGCGACAGGAAGCTCCTCCGAATTGCCTATGCTGCAACTAGTCAGGAGAAGGGCGGGAGGTTGGCAGTAAGTGTTTGGCTACTCCCAGTGTTGGAGACTGTGTCCACCTGACCATGTGATCATCCGGCCGTTCATGCCAGGACCACCAGGAACAAGCCTCGGTTCTCTTCCCAATGTCCTTTCCCTATGACAGCCCTGCAGAGGCTAGGCATCCACCACTACATAGCCCACAGTCTGCTCTGCCCCAGCCACAGCATCCTCGGCTTGCTCAGCCATTCTTTGTCTGGGTAATTTGAAGTCCAATCCCCACTCTCATTACTTACCATCCTCTGAATGCAGCCAGTCTGTCTGGGTCTCCCTGAGACTAGCATGCCCAGACTCCTGTGGGTATAGCCTGGCCAAGGCAGAGTTAGCACAGGACTGTCACCTCCCTCCTTCTACATACTCTGCTTCTATTAATGCAACCTAAAGTTACATTTGTTCTTTTGGTGACCGCATCTCACTGCTGACCGATCCTGACCCATCCTGAGCAGATGGACATCCAAAATGCCTAAATCTTTTTTCTGTGTGCTCTTGCTATGAAGTTCTGTCTCTCCTGCCCCATTCTATGCCGTTGCAGTTGGTGTTTTTAACCCAGGTGCAGAATCTTATTTATACCTGTGGAATTTTGCTCGAGAGGGTGGGGCATGCATGCGAATGTGTGTTGGTGTGTTCATTCATGCTTTCTGCTACACCAAAGCCAAGTCCTAGGTCCCCACGCAGTGATCCTCAGGCTAATTATTTATTGGTAGCTGTAATCTAATTTGTCTTTTTCATCTTCTGTTTAGCAAGAGGAACAGAGATCAGGTCATATGGCAATGACCCCTGAACGGCAGAATGCATATATCTCCCAACAGATGAGTCCATTTCAAGGTAAGCAGTTAAGGCCAGTGTTCCCAAGGGGGTGGGCAAGGGGTGCATATGTGGAAGTGGGGTGAGAATTCATTTCAGAGTAAGCAGTTACTGTCTGTGTTTCTGAAAGCATTGAGAGAGAAGAGATCGGAAAAACGGTTAAATAATTCATCCAACTCTAAGAGCAGGATCCCAATTGAAGGCCTGGTCTAAATGACTCCAAAATCATCATTTAATTCAAGAGACTGATTTCCCTGAGTCAGGCCCCTTAAAGCAGCTATTTCAATGGGACAGGGACACACCCGCTAGGATCTGCATTAGAATCACTTGGGGGCTGCCACACCCCCAGGGCTCTGATCCTGCCCTTCTCCCACACACATATTCACACACTGCTGCAGTGACCTTCCATTTCTAATGGGTTTCTGGGACATCTGTCAGGTATAGGAAATGGAAAAGGGGTTGGGGAGGCTCTGCTTCAGAAAGTTTGTGTCAGGGGTTCCCGGAGCCTCCACAGATAGATAGCAGGGGTCCCCACTATAAATGTGATCAACATTTATTGGCCTAGGATACAGCAGTTAGCAAAAAGCCTGATGTAGTTCCCACTTCATGGAGCTTGCAGGCTAGCCAAGGAGTCATGAGTTCAGCAACCCTTATGCACCAGTGGGATGAGATTGGACCAGGCCAAGGGTAGTCTTGGGAACACTCAGCATTTGTCTGAGGGTCAGGAGAGGCTGCTTGCCCTCAACAGGTGGTCAGCATCTTTATCGTAGCCCGTGCCACCTCTACACCATCGCTCTTCCAGTCTTATGGAAGACCTCTTTTGGCCTGATACCAGCAGAGTCTGTGTCCCACTTGTCCAGGCTGGAGTGCCACATTGGGCACACTCCAATTGCAGGGACAGCACAGACAAGTTTCAGGAAGGCTGGTGGCCTCCAGGAGGTTAACCTTATAGGGCTAGATTGTAACCTAGTTGAAAAACATACACATGCCATGATAATAAAAGAACCTAGGCACCATTACAAGAGAAAGAAATCATTTTTGTAGATATGAGCATGGACTCTTCGGTGGGTCAGACACACTGGGCTTGTGCCCTGATTGCACTGTCTCCTCTACCTGACTTTGGGTAAACCATATGACTGCTACATGACTCAGTGTCCACTCCAAAAAAGTACCTGTAGATATTGGCCACGGTAGATATCAGCTAGAATGGACCCTCATGACAATGAGGGGAGATGCATTTCCCATCTTAGGCACCTGGGACTCTACCTTCCATCTTCTGCTCCGTGTCTCTCCATCCCCAGGGTCTTCAGAACTCAGGGAGTCCAGAATGTCAACTCCTAGATTTCAGCCTTCAGAAAGGAACCCCATTACAGCTCAGTTGTACAAATGTTGTCTGAGCCCCAGATCTGGACTCAGAGACCATCTTGGCTATGAGGAGAACAGAGGGGAACAAAGCATCACCCGCACTTACTCACCACACTCACTTGCTGTCCCAGGTCACATCCATCGGGTAGAGAATTGAAGAGACTGAGCTAGCTCCTGCCACCAGCCCACCCCACCTGGCCCCTTCCTTCCTTCTACAAAATATGCACCACCTGTCAAAGGGTGGGCAGTGCCAGGCCCTGCATACAGAGCACTGAGTGTAAAAGCAGACATGGACCTTGGCCTCCGGGAGCTTCCAGTTTTCTTGAAGAGACAAATCAGCTGCCATTTCAGTCCAGTGTGATCTGCTTTTGGTGAGCACAGACCTAGGAAGTTGGGGCAGCTTCCCAGAAGAACGGAAGTCCAGGCTGAGGGCAGAGAAATGAGGGGAATTGTGAGGAATTGGGGAGCAGGGTCGGGGGGCTCAGTAGAGAGCCAAGGGCGGGAGGTGAGAAGTCCGGGCTGGGCCAGGAGCCTCACTCCGGTGGCCACAGCCCAAGTCGAGGATGCCTTTGGAACTGATCCCCAATTCTCTCTGTATGTAGCCGCCCAAGAACAAGTCACCTCCAAGTGTAGCCGGATCAAGGCAAGCCCCCCATCTAGCAAGCACTTGATGCCACCCAGAACTGGGCTCCTTCAGAACAATCTGAGTCCAGGAATGATCCCACTCAGCAGCCACCAGAGCTGCGAGGGCATGGAAGTGATCTCACCAACTCTGGGGAAGCGGCAAGGAATTTCCACCTCCAGCTCCCAGCTTCCCACCCCCTCGCACTCAGGCCAGACTCCCCTGGGCAGTCTTGGCCCTGTCTGCCAGCATACGCAGAGTCCCAAGGCCACCCCACCAGAAGTGCCCCTGCCTGGGTTCTGTCCCAGCTCCCTGGGCACCCAGTCCTTGAGTCCCCACCAGCTCAGACGGCCTAGTGTGCCAAGAATTCCCACTGTGTTTAACAATGCTGCATGGGGCACAGCGGCAGCAGCTGTGACCACAGCAGTTTCGGGGAAACCACCCCTGAGCCAAGTGGATAATAGTGTTCAGCAGCATTTTGATAGCAACTCCATCTTTGCCAAGGCGCCTGTGAGAGTGCCCCTGATGGCCCCAGTGTTCCCATCGCAGCAGACAGTTGCGACTCCCAATCAGATGGCCTCTGAAGGCAGGCCTGGCCAGAAGGTGAGTGCTGTTCTGGCCAACAACCCCAGCTTCAGCCTGCTGGGCAGTCAGAGCCTCAGGCAGAGCCCGGTGCGGGGCCCAGTGCCTGTAGCAAACACCACCAAGTTCCTCCAGAAGGGTATGGCCAGCTTTAGTCCCCTGAGCCCCATACAGGGCATCGAGCCACCAAGCTATGTGGCTGCTGCTGCCACCGCTGCTGCTGCTTCTGCCGTTGCCGCCAGCCAGTTCCCAGGTCCGTTCAACAGAACGGGTATTCCCCCTGAGCTGCCACCTGCCGACTTTTTGCGCCAGCCCCAACCCCCACTAAATGATCTGATTTCGTCACCTGACTGCAATGAGGTAGATTTCATTGAAGCTCTCTTGAAAGGCTCCTGTGTGAGCCCAGATGAAGACTGGGTGTGCAACTTGAGGCTGATCGATGACATTTTGGAACAGCATGCTGCTGCTCAAAATGCCACAGCCCAGAATGCTGGACAAGTCACCCAGGATGCTGGGGCGCTTTAAATCTGAGCAGGATGCCCATAGAAACGCCCACGTTGACATCGCTCTAGGGAGTGGTGTCACTCCACACCCGCAGCTGTCTCCCGTTACAATTTGAGTGGTGTTGTCAGCCCATGCTTATCCCTCCCTCTACCTGTGACAAAATGGAAAGCTGGTGATTTTTCAAGCTACGTGTACATATTTGAAAATTTTGTAAATGGTTTTCCTAAACATTCATGACAGAAGTATTTATACTTCATTTTGTGACTTTGTAAATAAAGCGACGGCTTTTGTTTCAGTAGAGTTGTGTTTACTATGCATCGTTTTGTGTTTATTATACATTGTTACAAATATGCAGACTGTGTTGTTTGCTCCAGTGATACCTTGTTAAGCTAGGTGGCTGAGTCGCTTATGGTTTTGATGCAATGAGCAATGTGGATGTGACCAAGAGTTGTTGTGCAAGTTGACAAATGCCAAATAGAAAACCACTTGGCCATTTATTTCTATGTTCACTAAAAATCCTATTGCCTTGTGTGATTCTTAATCTCTTTTGCAAACCTTTCAGTCTCCGCTAGCTCTTTCCTAATGAGCATTTACAGCAGAAGCCGTTTTATCATTAAGTGCCCCACAGAGACACTTTACCAGGAGGCTGAGAGAGTTCTCCAGATCTGGGAGAGGCGCAGAGAGAGCGTGTGCGCCGAGCACCGTCTCAGCAATCCACCTTGAGGAGCTAGAGTATCCTCCTCCCTTTACCATTCAGACCGAGAGAAAAAGCCCAGCTTGTGTGCACCCTCGTGGGGTGAAGGCGAGCTGTTCCTGGTTTAAAGCCTTTCAGTATTTGTTTTGATGTAAGGCTCTGTGGTTTGAGGGGGAACATCTGTAAACATTAATAGTTGATTTGGGGTTTGTCTTTGATGGTTTCTATCTGCAATTATTGTCATGTATATTTAAGTGTCTGTTATAGAAAACCCACACCCACTGTCCTGTAAACTTTCCTCAGTGTCCAGACTTTGTGTAATCACATTTTAATTGCCACCTCGTATTTCGCCTCTACATTTGAAATCTGGCGTCTGTTTCAAGCCAGTGTGTTTTTTCTTCGTTCTGTAATAAACAGCCAGGAGAAAAGTGCCTCTATGTTTTTATTTTTCAAGGGAGTATTCAGTACCTACAAAGCCAAGTCAGGAAGCCTGCTAGTGGCTTTGCTTATTTCAGAGGCTGCTCGATGCCTTGTGTGTCAGAAAGAAAGATTCGGTAGTTTTGCACTACAGCAAAGAAGCCTGTTATTTGGGGCTCAGCCCCTCATTTTATAGAGGATGAAACAGAGAGGGATGGGAGGCCACGAAGACAACTGCCCTGGGAGCAGGGGTGGCGAGGACTTGCCCTGAGGGTCTAGACTCTCTGCACCACCATCCTGTCTTCCTTGCCGAAGACCATGCATGCCCTTCTTTGACCAGACCCTGCCACCTGATAGACCAGGACCTGGCAGGCGGGTATCCAGGTTTCATGGATGGAACCACATCTCCCCAGAAGTGGGGAGGTAGCTATTGGGATGCGCGCCTCCCGCCATGTGCTGTAGGAGTGCAGCTGAAGCAACAGTTGGGATCAGATGTAGTCACAATTGAATGCATCATCACATTTATCCCTCTAACTGGCTGGAAGAGTTGATATCCTCATCCCTAAGGTACAAAATGTTCCCATTTGATCAGTGGCTTTCAGGAGCTGAGAAAGGCATATGCTCTGAGGCAGAGCTGTTATGTCCTGCAGAGCCTAAAAATGCTCTAAGAACATGCCCCCTGCCAAAATTCTCAATGGCTGTGACAAGGGACAGTGATCGACCAATGGGGTTGGAAGCAGACCTCCCCAGTCCAGGGACCAGAGGCGGGACAGAGGGGTCATAGAAAGAGTCATTATTCCAACACTCCAGCTCTTGGCCAGTCCTCACCCAGTCCCTTCCTGCTTCCAGGTGAGAGAGAGATCCTCAGAGGTCTGGGTAAAGTCCTTCAGTCAGCCTTCATTCCCTGTCACCAACTTTGTCTCTGTTCTCCCTGCCCGTCTCAGGCAGCGCTCTTCAGGAAGCCTCTCCAGGAGCCAGCCTCGCTGCAGCTCCCACTACTGTCCCTCTGCCTCAAGTGTCCCAACCATGCCAGGCCCCAGGCAGGCTGCAGCTTTCCCTCGGGGCCACACCAAAGCACTTGGGCTCAGCTGTGCTGTCCCCCTCTGTCACTGAGCTCAGCTGCAGCAGGGGTGGGGTGCCAGGAGGCCCATTCACCCTTCTCTGGCTCTGTGTTAGACCCACCTGCCCAGTGACTGCTGCTTAGAACCTACCCGCTGGGAAAATGAAGCCCTCCCAGAGGGGCCACCTCAACCTGAGAGCCTCATGGATCACACCTGTCCCCACTCAGCTATGCCAGCCCTCAGAGACCCACAGATAAAAGCTGAGCTTGACTCGCAGAACTGGTTCCATCTTCCATTCCCAGAGGGTTCAACTTCCTACCCCAACCACACAGGGAACCTCAAGGCTGAGCCAGTGTGGGCTGCAGTGCAGACCAGCTTCCTGGACACGTCCTGCTGCCACCTGACCCCAAGCTGGCCCTATCCTCGTTCCTCCTGGCAGTGCGTGTTCTGCCAGTCTGCTCTCCCTTAGCTGTCCTCTCACTGTACTGTCAGCCTCTCATTTTCCAGGTGCCCCCCAGGGGCTTTCCACATGACCCTGTCACCCCACAGCCCATCCAGCACCAACTCCAGCGCTCTGCTACCCTTCAAAGGAGTGGCAGTGCCCTGCTTCGCCTCCCACTCACCCCTCAACCCAGAGCAATCCGGTTCCAGTCTTGCCTACTTCCCCCTAAGTACTCTAGTCACAGTTCCAAATTCCTCCTGGTCATAAAGCCAAATGAAGCTTCCCGGTCCTCAGTGGACCTGCCCCTTTAGCAGTACTGGACTCTCTCCTCCCAGAAACCTGTTTCCCCTTGGCTCCTGGAGCCCACACTCAGCTGCAACGCTTCTGCCTCTCTGGCCTGTAGCTTGGCCCTCTCTCCCAACCTGAGGTCCATTCTCTCCTGCTGCTCTACACGATGTTGCTCCTTCCATTACTTCCTCCCACTCAACCAAGGCTCCTTCATTAGCTCTTTATCTTCTGGTTTCTTCCCCTGGGCAGACAAATGGATTCAAGAGCCTGTGCCCCAGAAGCCTGGCACTCCAGGATCTCAGCACCTCAGCATCCCAGTACCCTAGCATCTCAATACCCCAGCACCCCAGCACCATAGTATTCTAGCACCCCATTGTCCCAGCATCTCAGCACTCCCAGAGTCCCAGCATCTCAGCACTCCAGCAGCCCAGTGCCCCAGCACCCCAGCAGCCCAGCATCTCAGCACCCTAGCATTGTAGCATCTCAGCACCCCAGCAGCCCAGCATCTCAGCACACTAGTACTCCAGTATCTCAGCACCCCGGCACCTAGGCATCCCAACACCCAGTACCCCAGCACTTAAGCATCCCACCACTACCATATCTCAACACTCCAGCACCCCAGCACCCCAGCACCCCAGCACCTTAGCATCCCAGCATCTCAGCACCTCAGCATCTTGACATTCTGGCTGAGGTCAGCATGGTATATCTAGTCAGGGTCCTAACTTTCACTTTGCAGGGAAATGCTGCTGGACTGGGTCTCATGTTGGGCTGAAGCTCTCTAGACCCCTTGAAGACAGGATAAAAGAGCTTGGAGACTGCTGGGTATCCCCCACGGAAGAGTTCACTCTCATCCTGCTTCAACAACAGCCTTCTCTTTCTTACTGCAAGTTTGTCCCTGAGAAGACTGGTGCAGAAGGCACTCAGATGCCTGTGGCTCCTGAAGAGCTGAAGGCGGAGGCCTGAAGGCCTCCCTGTGAGAGGCACAGAAAAAACCATGATTGCTAGGGAGGAGGTGCTCCCTCTACAACCCACTCCATAATCTGCCCCCCACCCGCCCAGTTCTGAGGCCAACCCCAGGGGAAAGTGCCAGATCTCCAGGGAGATGTATGAGACCTCAGGGGCTCCCTCCTCCCTTACAGCAGGCTCGGGCCCCTGGGGCCCCCAGGGCCAAGGTCTGTGGGTAACCTACTATCTCTCACTTGTCCTCCAGCCACAAAAGCCAGGGAGGTCTGGTAATGGACATGAGGTTCTGAAGAAGCACATATGACTGGCTTCCTAATGTGTGGTTGTTCAGTGACTCAATAAACATGCATGTGCCAGGCATGGGGAAATAGACAGACATGATCCCCAACCTCTCCTGGAGTGAACTGGAAGGGAGGAGTGTTCATTCCTCAGGATTACACCAGGGAAACAAACCAGCAGGAGGTATATATGGTTTTGGGGGGTCAAGGAAGAGGAAAAACCTGGCAAGGCAAGTCCAAAATCCATAGGACAGGCTGTCAGGAAGGGCAGCCTGGAACCTCTCAAGCAGGAGCTGTTGCTGCAGTCCACAGGCAGAATTTCTTCTTCCTCGGGAAAATCTCAGCTTTGTTCCTAAGGCCTTTCAACTGATAGGCTGAGGTCTGCCCCTTCCCCCACATTCTCCAGGATAATCTTCCTTACTTGAAGTCAACTGATTAATCACAGTTACAAAACCCACTCACAGGCGGAGCTTGTAGTGAGCCGAGATCCGGCCACTGCACTCCAGCCTGGGCGACAGAGCGAGACTCCGTCTCAAAAAAAAAAAAAAAAAAAAAAAAAAAAACCCTCACAGCTACACATAGATCAGTGTTTGATTGACGAACAGCCACTATAGCCTAGCCAAGTTGACACATAAAACTAACCATCATAGGGGGACAAATGATGTAAACACATCAACAAATAAAACAGGAACAAGTTGTGTTAAGGTCTATGGAAAAAACACAGAAGGGGCAGAGAGAAAGAAAGCAAGAAGGAGAGTCCCAGTTTGGCAGGGCTTGTGGGAAGTGGGGAGCAGTTCTCTTTAGCTAGGATATTGGGGAAAGACGTATCTGAAGGAGTGATATTTGAGCTTAGATTAAAAGATGGAAAGGAGCAAGCCATGCAAAGAGCTAGGATGTTCCAAGCAGAGAGGGAACATCAAGTGCAAATGTTAGGAGGAATAGAAGGAGGCTGGTGGGCAGGGTCCAGTGAGCAAGAGGAGGGCAGGCAGGAGAGGGGGTAGGGAGGTGGGCAGGCCCAGACCATGCAGGGCCCTGGAGACTATCCTGATCCAACAAAGGAAGCCTTCGGTCACTTCAGTGTCCATGTGGAGAATGGACCTCAGAATGAATGAGGGAGGCAGTAAGGAGGGCCTCTACCTCCAGGGCTTCTCCCTGTGGACTGCGCATAGACATCTCCAACTCAGAAAGTCTGAACCAAACTTTCCATAGCTCCCCCAAGTCCGGGCATCCTCCTACTCAGTGAAAGGCAACCATCACACTTCCCTGCCCTGCTCCCGGATGCCCAAAATCCTCTTGGTCTCCAAGTCCAGAACCTGGGACTTCTCCTTGATGTTTGTCTTTCCCTCACCCCTTCTGTATTCTGGGAAGATGGGTTTTTTCCCCCAAATGAATCTGTAAAACTTCTGTGATCACAACGAAAATTCTGGCAGTATTATTTTCTGGAACATGACAAAGTGATTCAAAATTATTTATCTGGAAGACTACAAAACAAGAACAGCCAGGAAATTTCTAAAAAGAAAGAAGGAGGAGGAGAAGAAAGAAGCAGGAGGAAAAGGAGGAGGAGAAGAAGAAGAGGAAGAAAAGAAGAACCAAGAAAGGGTTGTAGTGCTACCAAATATTCAAACATATCATGAAGCTGTTTAAAACAATATGGTTGTGGACACTGAAAAAGATGTGAATAAAGTGGAAGGAAAATAAATAGAAGTGCACATGGGAATTGAGACTGTGAGAAAGGCAGCATCTCACATCAGTGAGGGATGTTCAATACCTGGTGTTGGGAAAACTGGCTAGTTTACAAAACAAACTGGCTAGTTAAACAAAACAACTGGGTCCTCTACCTCTCTCTTGACATTAAGATACATTTAGATGATTCAAAGAGTAAGACAGAAAAAATAACACATGAAAGCACTATCAGAAAACAAGGTGGGCCGGGTGTGGTGGGTCATGCCTGTAATCCCAGCACTTTGGGAGGTCAAGGCGGG